TGCGACCATCTGGCTGCCCTTGGGGCAAAGGCGTGGCCATGGAAAGCTACCCTTCCACCTCCACCACCACCCTGCCTGCCCTTATTCTTAAATCTCCGTTTTGAAAACATAGAAAGTTCCCGATTAATCTTTGACTCCAGCTGAGTTATAGAGAGAAAGATAACTAATAAGGTAGAGAGCTTCCTCCATGCCCCACTGCTGGGAATCCTCACCCCTCACAGCTGACCCCAGAGGGCAAATAGCTTGCCCGTTTGTTAGGAAGGAAGAAGAGGTTTGGATAATGTAAATGGCTACGGTAAAAGTGCTGAGTTAAAGTGTAGCTGTGGCTCCCAGATAGTTTTCAGTCCTGTGATTGCCAGACTTACATGTTTTGAAGGACAGCAGAGTTTAAAAGCTGAGAAGTGGAGGTAGGAGGTGGAAGACAACTTTTTAAACCACTCCCATTTACTTTTCATTATCATTTCATCCAAGAAGTGACATTTTGACTGTAGGAGGAAGGCCATACCTTTAGGATGAAGGGTAATCGTCTGCTCACCTGGCCATTCCCAGTCTGTGAGCTGAGGCCTAGGGGAGGGAGTTGGCTGTGTGAGCCCGTTCTGTCCCCAGCCCCATGGCTGCCTGCTCCCACCTCTGCTTTCCCCAGCTTTTGTTCTCCAGCCCGCTGATGGCCTTAGAGGGAGCAGTTTGGTTCCTTGGCTTGCTTGGACAGACCAGACCACTGCTTGGCTGGCAAAGAAACCTGCCAGAAGGCTGCTCACTGCCTGGTTGGCACCACATCCCCTTTGTGCTGTGGACCCCAGACCCACGCAGAAGTACTTCAGCCAAGCCTTTTCTGAGTGCATCTGTTTATAGGTGAAGGGATTAAGTGGGTTTTAAACTCTACTTAAGCTCTTCTTGTCTCTCTAGGGAGGGATTTTACATGTAATAAAAGCAGGAGCTTTGGAGTGAGACAGACCTAGGTTCAACCCTTTTCTCTGCCACTTACTAGCCATGCAGATCTTCTGTCTGAACTTTGATTTCCTTGTCTCTGAAACTGGGGCCACAGCAGCTCCTACGTAGTATGGTTGAGTGAGAGGAGGCAATAGAAGTAAAACATGTGTCCAGTGAGTGGAAAGCAGTGTAAGAGGGTTGACAGCCTTACTAAGTTGTTACCTATGAAAGTGGCCTACATTTATATGTCTTAGAACTTGCCTGGTACATAATCAGTGCTGACCAAGTGATTGCTGTTACGATCATTATAGAGAAATAAGGAAGTCAGATGTGCTGAGGGAAATTAGTTCTAGAGCTAACATAAAAAAGGGAAGAATTGGCCATCACCTTCCTGGGCACCTTCCCCCCAGGAGACATCTCAAATGTGTGCTGTTAGAGCCACTGACGGAGGCGGCTCGGGAAGCACTAAACGGAGGCTCGTAGTAGAAAGGCTCTGGGCTGTGAGGCTGGAGAAGAGGGGCTGAGCGCTGGTCCTGCTGCTGTGCTGTGGGGCAGGTGGGAGACGGGAGTGCACTGCTGATGGCACCTCACCTGCAGGCCAGCCATGTCACCCATTTTCACTGTGCTCAGAGGGCTGGCTTCGCCTACTTGGAGGGCTCTACTGTGGTCAGAAGTCAGTGTTCCAATTGAAATAGACAAGGCAAACCGTGACTGAAGCCGAGAACCAGGCAGTCAGGCTGCAGTCCACGCAGTTAGGGAGCGGAGGTGTGGCACCCACTAGGAAGAATGCCGAGGGCCCCCTGGGCTGGGGCCCAAACCATTCATTGTTCGGGAGGGCCTGCTGCTGCGATACCTCAAACCCTGTGGTCTGAGCCCTTCCTACTGAAGGCTGTAGGAAGCCCCACCCCCACCCTTGCTCTCTTCCGGGGAGGTTGCAGCCGTGGGCTCCCTGGGGAAGGTGCACCTTCTCATGGGAGATGGAGAAGAATGCAAAGCCAGCGTTCTCTCTATGGAAGAAAGGGTCGTCTTTTTCTTGTCCCTGCCCCCTGGGCAGAGGCAGGCAGACCTGTGGGTTGTCCTGAGATGTCCTACCAAGAGGGCCTGTGCGAACGCTGGAGGGAGTATGGAGGAGCCTGAGGGAAATGTCAGCCGTGTCCTGGCAAGGGACCCAGTGGTTACAGCAGTCATTACGCTGGTGTCTCCAGCCCTCTCACAAGGTGCTGGGCGCATGTTTTGACCTTCTTCAGGCACACTCTGTTCTGCTAGTTTATCATGTAAAAGAGACTTCTGGCTTCTGAATTTCCTTGCCGGCACTGCTTTTCAGCTGCCGTGGGCCACCTTCCTGTTGTGACTGACAGTCATCCATTTGAGTTTGTCCTCAGCTTGGGTCCAGCCAGGGGAGGGAGGAAAGCAGTGTTGAAAAGGACATCACTGATTCCAAACATTATCTCAGCATGACCATGCCACTTCCCGGGCCTTTCTTGTATCTCACAAGGACTTGATGTCTTAGACGGTGAGGTTCACCCCAGGCCTTCCCTCTCTCCGTCTTCTGGTTGCTCTGCTTCATTCACTGGAGGCAGCAGGGAGAAGGCGCCCGGCCTGCTGAATGAAGCTAGGCTTGGGGATGGCTGCAGGACCATCCCAGGATGTGCTCGTGATGACTGTCTTTTTCCAAGTCAAAAACTGGCATACAAGACCCACCAGTGGAGGTTTGTTGAGGGGGCACTAATAGGCAGGGCACCAGAAGCAGCAGAAAAGAAGGCTGGGGCTAAGAGGTCCCAGCTTCTCCTTCCGAGATCAGATACTTCTCCAATGCCTTTATCATCCACTCGCGCTTGACTCCGCACAGGGACCCCAGGTCATGCCTCCCCTGTGCAGTGGAGGAATGTCGCACGGTCTAGTCTCTCATCTGAGGGTGTGGAAGATCCTCCACCATCCACTGTGTGTGGAGGAGCCCAGAGAAGAGCCTGGGTCTGGGCTCTGGGATCCGTCACTTCTCTAGGTACCTTTCCCGGGGACCTTTCTTATTCATCAAAGGACATGGTTTTTCCCATTAAAAAGTACAGTGTGACAATGTGATGTGTACTCAGTATTAAAAATACAGAGGCAGAGAGGAGGAAGAGGAAAATCCACCCATGACAAGTCCATTTTGATGTATTTTCTTGCTAGATTTCGTATACTTGGAGGTTTTTATTTTTTACATAGTTAAGATCATACTGTATGTCACAGAACTTCATAGCCTTTTTTTTTCCCACTTAACCCATGGAAATGCTTCTGCCACACTTTGTTCAGAATGCCACACAGTTTTCTCCTTTCCTCTGTAATATATCATTGAGTAGATGGATCGTTTGCTTCAATCTCTCATTTTTGGATTTGCAGTTATTGCTTCAATTTAAATACTGCTTCTGTGGACATCTTTATTCATAAAGTCTTTTTCATATTTAGTATACTCAGTTAAACTAGATTTCCAGAAGTGGAATTATAGGATCTAAATACATTTGAAGCTCTGAAAAAGTTGCCAAGTTGCTCTCTAGAAGGTTTGTCATACTCTTCCAGTGGAGTGCGTGTCCTTGCCATGGTTCGCCCAGCTGGAGAGCTAGGATGGTTCAGTGGCTGAGGACTGTGGCCTCTTAAGCCTGACACATTTGTAATTTCTGGTTGGGGACAAATGGCTAGGGGAGGATGGACTTGTCAGGGAGTCGGGTCCTGCCGTAGGCCAGGTACTTCACAGTCGTTACTCCACTCAAATCTCAAAAAAGAGCCCCCATTTCACAGAAGAGGAAAGGAGGGCTGACCTGGAGAAGTAAATTGTCCAATATCACCATATCCTGCTGCCTCCAGTGAGGACTAGCCAGGCATCTCCCCGGGACCTGAGGATTACAGTGTGTTCTGAGTGTACAGATGTCAGGTAATGGGGGGAGGAGGTGGGGCTGGGAGGGGACACCATGTTGTCAGCCTGCAGCAGCTCACGGAGCCTTGAAGCCAGTGGGGGATTCAAGCACCCTGGGTAAGGCTGGTCTGATTCAGTCATTCATATGGGCATTTAGAAACTGATGAGACCATGGGTTGCAACAGAACACTACTGACCTGGGTGGCCTGCCTGCCAGGCTTAGGCTGTGCTTAACTCTGTTCAGGCTCAGGCTGGGAAAGTAGGGCTGGGCAGGGTGGGGACCGCCCAGAGATAATCTCTGCAGGTTGTTGTATTCTAGGCCTCCACTAGAACCGGTTCCTGAAGCATAGGCCACTGGTCTTGCCATTCCCAGATAGCTAGTAACAGTACAGCTAGGCACTGTTGTAAGCTTGCCACATATTAGTTTATTTGGACCTCATAGTAACCTGTGATGTGGTGCAGTGACCAGACCAAAGAACCAGAGGACTCCAGTTTGCTCACAGTCAAGCGGCAGAGCCTGTGGACTGGGCCGCCGTTCTGGCTCCAGCCTCCTTCCTTAGCACGGCAGTGTCCTGAGCACAGGGCCCAGCGGCTGGCTGGGAGACGAACACTGCCGCTGCCTGTGGGACTCCGGCCTTCCTCATGACCCGGGTGGGTAGCCTAGTGCAGGTTCTCAGAGCCCTGAGCCTCACTTTTCTTGTCTCTGAAATGGGATGAGAGAGTTGCTGCGAACGCTCAGGGCAGCCTGATTAGTCACAGAGGGGAGGGAGGGAGTGAGTGGGCGATGAAGGTGGCTGCCATAGCTCGGGGACAGATGACTAGGATCCTGTTCATCTTCTCTGGACAGGGTGGGGAAGCCAGGAGAGAGGGACTCAAAATTTGTAGCCAGGGCCTCACATGTGGATTTCCAGCCGGAGCCTGCGCCTCAGGCAGTGAGGTGACCTGATGTACGGTGCTTAGCCTGCATCACAGCTGGAAAGGTGGGGATAGCATGTCTGGGACCTGGTGGCTGTAGTGAGGCTGGATTCACTCCCGAGAGTGAAACCAACTCCCCCGCCCCGCCCCTGCACAGCTCCTGAATTCATCTGGGTTGGGTGCTGGCACCTAGGGAGGCATCTGGAGCTTGGAGGCACCCATACCCACTGACCCACGTCCACTCTCCCTGCCTTCTGTCTTTCAGGTTGACCCTCGGGACCCACAATCTCATCGTGTCTCGCACAGAATTCAGCAGAGGGCACAGGTGGTGGCTTGGCCGGTTGGTGATCTCCTGACAGCCGGGTCTCCAGCAATGTGAAACTTCCGTTTGGGTTTTCCCCCTTCTCTTACTTTTGCTTTATTTTTTATTTTTTTCCCTCCCCCTTCTTTTTTTTTTTTTTTTTAATTTAAACGATTAAGACTTCAGAAGAGCAGGAAGTTATGCTGTGGACAGGCACCACTTTCTTTAAAGAAACTCAATACGGACAAAGCATATGTATAAATTTCATTTTTAATTTTTATAAGGGGTTAGGGAGCTATTTTGTTTTTGTCCTTTATTTTCCCTGTCTTCTTTCTTTTATCCATCTCTTAGTTCTGCTTATAACTCCTCACTTCCCCAGAGAAGGCCTGCCCCTCCGTGGAGAATTTAGGGACCTCTCCTGGATCAGGGGGCTTGAGGACAGAAGGAGGCCTCTGTGCTGCCTCCCCACCAGGTGCGGGAACTGCTAGACTCCCTGGTGGGCGCTGGCCCTTGGGCCTTGGAGATGATCAGAGGCCAAGAACCACCTAGAAGGGGAAGACCCAAGCTTGGCCAGGAGAACTCAAGAAAGAAGATCCCCGTTTGGAGTTTGTCTTCTGTAAGCGGTTGGAAACCCAGAGTCACACCAGGACTTACAGAGGGAATCCATTCCCTCTCCTGCCCTTCATGACCAGGGGTTCTGATGGGGGAGGGCCAGAAGGTGACCATCTCTTACTCCCCGGTAATTGAGCAGCCAGCCCACCCCAGCTTTACAAACCGACCTTTCTGTTAGTGATCTTCCTCCCAGACGATGATTCCCCAGGAAAAAATGTCGTGCCAAACCTCTGCCCAGGATACAGCAGGGTCTTCAGCGGGCCTCTGTCACTCCTGTGAAGTCAGCACCTACCACCTCCTGCCTCCAGGATCACCATCTTCCCAGATGTGCCCGCCGGATGCCCAGGGTGTCCGAGCCATCTGGGACCCAGCTGTGACCATTGCCATGAGAACAGGGTGTCCTAATCAGGCTGTTACCCCTCACAGCGCGGCGTGTGCGCTGCGAGCCAGGCCCCGTGCTGTCGTATGTGGTGGCAATGCCAAGCGTCCTCTCCCTCCCTGCAGAGACTTACTGCTAGGGGCCCACCCTCAGTGTAAATGTATCTGATGGGAAAGGATGGACCTGGCTGAGCGGGTGGACCACAGCCATCAGGTGCCTCTGGGCTTGGTGGCCGTGACTCCCGACCCCACCTCCAGTGTCTGTGTAGCCTTCCTTCAGCTCTTCGACGACACTCTTGCAGCCTCCCTCTTGTGCTTTGGAAGAGGCGTGTCCTCTCCCCTTGCCAGGAGGAGAGCTATTCCTCTTGCCGCGTACCCGGAAGCCCCTTCAGCTGCTCCACAGGCTTCTCACCCCAGAACAGCAAGGCAAGGAAGGGAAAAGGAATTCTTCTTTGGTGTTTATCCTTGTTGTTGTTTTCTCTAAACCAGCATAGAGTGGATAGGGGGAGATGTGGAGGGCATTTAAGTTGGTATGTGACCAAGGGGGTCTTCCCCCCCAAAGCCACAGTCCTTCCACCCTGGGAGTTTGGAAGAGACCAGCACAGCATCAGCCCAGATGCTGTGCAAACTCAGCAGTATGTTTGCTCACATTCTTTCCACCTTTTCTCAAGGCTTCTTCCTCCTCCTGGGCAGATGGCTGGCTGTGGTTAGCAGGATCCGGCAAGGCAGCAGGTGGTGACCAGGCCCCTCACTCCCCTCCCTCAGCTGAAATCCTTTGTCATCGCTTGGCTCTGCTCCTCTCTGACTTCTCAGACGACCTGGGTATACGCTGAGCTACAGCGGGAATCACGCATCCCCTAATTGCAGTCGATGCCCCTTCTCCGCCCCACCTCCCTGCCCTCCCTTGGGGGCAGCTGTCTGTCTGCGAGCATGTGGGGAAGCAGTCCCTGGACTCAGCAACCCCACCTCTCCCTGGCCACAACCCACACTCTGAAATCCTAGTGAGGGTTCAAGTCTAACAGGATATTTACCTTTTGCTCATCGTTCCCTTCCACCCTCCCCCGGTGTCTTAGCTCTGAGTAAGGTCCCAGGTGGCCATACCTTTCGGGCGAGGTGGGTAGCCTCGGTCGGGTAGCAGCATCCACGTACCTTTGTCTGGCAGGACTCCCAGCCCATCCTCACTTAGTGGCAGGTCCTCCTTCCCTGGCTCCTGAGGCCCAGCTTGTTAGCCCCAAGTGCCTGTCTCCACCTCCCCCGTCTCCACTTCGTCTGCCTCGGGCACCTAGCAGCCAGTGGAAGGCAGCCCGAAGTCAAGGCTGGCTCTGCCCGGGCAGCTGCCTGTCCTTCAGCCACTCTGCATCTCTTCCCGATGGGGTCAGCCACCTCGTCTCTTCCTGCCTTTTCACCTGGGTCTCGGGCCTGGTAGCAGCCCTGGGGCACATCATCTCAGCACCACCAATTTGTTAGTCCTGTGCAAGTTCTAGAAATTTCCAGTCCTTAAAACAACAGTCGGTTATTCTCCTGGGATCTGTGGAAAGGAGAGTCTTTGGAGGGAGGATCTGAGCTTCATTCTCCCTCAGTGAGAGGAATCAACAAGACAGATCATAGTGCCTTATTCCATTGCCCTCCCCGCCAGACCGTCTGGCTTAGTACATGGCTTCTGTCTCCCTATCCGTGTCCATCTGTCACTTAAACTCACTCCCATATAGAGATAGCCACATGGGAGGATGGCTTCCCCCTGACCTCCCCGTCCCTTCCTCAGCTGTGCTGCGGACAGGTGTGCATTCCGCCCTCCTCCCCAGCAGGTCCCCGCCTCTTCCCTGCAGCCAGGAGGATGCACGTCTCTTTCTTCTAGGCCTTCAAGGCCAGCTCCATCTGACCCCCTCCTGGGCACCGGGACTAAGGCCGCGAACCTTAGCCTCCTCTCATCCAGAGGCACTGGGTCAAGAGCGGAATTCTGTCCCCTAACCTGCTGTGATTCGTGCACCCATGGCTGCCTTTCTGAGGGAGTGTATTCAATGTTTACTTAAGAAATACTCTGTTTACAGCTGGAGGAGAAATGTGCCCGTTGCTGGGTGGAGATCTGACTCTCTGTACGGCTCCTGGCCTCCTTTGTGGCACTGCCCGTGGTGACCCCAGAGCGAATGAAGGCGAGGGGCAGGGCTGGGGCACAGGCCCCACAACCCCTCTGCCCCTGACCCTGCGGTGCTAAGACCACTTGCCATCTTCCTCACAGCCTTCATTCCTCGCCTCTCATTCCCTTCCTCCAAGATCTCTCTCCTTAACATATCAGTTATTTCCTAGAAAACCAGTGTTTGGAGCAATAAGATAATTTTCTTTTTTTGGCTTGAGTCTTTTTCTAAAAAAAGGAAAAGAGCAGACATTGTGGGATTCTTCTTTCTTTTTCTGCTGTTGCTGTTTACCTTTTTAGAAGACAGATCTAACTTGGATGCTTAGCTGGGTTTCAGCCTCAGGGTATCCTTAGGAAGCTTGGAGAGGTAGGATCAGGCCTCCACCCCCTAACCCTCTGCTCCTGCCACCCAGGCTCCCAGCCCTGCCCACCAAGTGCGCGCCCACCTTTGCTCCTCTGTGCCAACCTCTCCCTGCCTGTCTTGGCTCTGCCTCTAAGTGGGGCTCTTAGGTTCTTGCCGCTTCCCCATCCTGGGCCTGGGCAAGGGGCCCAGCCGCTGGAGTCGTCAAGACCTGGTGACCTGAGAAGACCTGAGTTGTGCTGCTCCAGGCTCCAGACCCCTGGCTTGGGGCTGAGGTGCAGCCTTTGGGACAGTGTGGGCCATTTCTGACCCGGCCCTGCCAGGCTTTGATGGCTAGGCCTCCTGTTTGGAGAGGAGGCGCTGGGAATGGAGCACCAGGACGTGTCATGAGGTTGGCTAATGTCAGCACACATAGTTGAGGGCTGAGTCCACTGCCAGTGGCTCCTGGAGTCCCTAAGATGGGAGGGGGGGACGGTAAACAGGAAGGAGACCCCTGCATCTTTTTCCCTGAGAGGCTACAGGAGGAAGGGAGTCCATTTAGGAACATTTTAAAGAAGTCTTTGTTCTCCAGGTGCCTCTTTCCATCAGAGCAGGGGAGGATGTTGGAGTGATTTGACATTCGTGTGGGGCCAGCTTGGGTGCGAGGGAGGTTTTAACCCAGGCACAAGGTTAGTTTCAAAGACTAGTTAATCTATTTTCTTTATTTTCTTTTTTTTTGCACAGAAGCTGGTAATCTAGGACCTACGTGTGAACAACTTTATATATGAATATTTTTTGTACTTGGTTTACTTGGGTTGGTATGATACATTATATTTAAGTTCCTTGAACACTGTGGATCCCCCTAATGTGTATGAATGACTGAGGCTTTGTAAATTAAGGGACGTTTGTGTGAATAAAGTTATTTGATGGGGTCAAAGAAGCCATATGTGATTTTAAAAGGAGTGCTTTGTGGTTTTGTCATCTCCTGTGCAGAGGAGCTTGTGTTGGTCCTGGTGGGTGAGCGGCAAGAGAAAGGATGCTCGGCTGCTTGGTGAGAAAATGCCTGGTGGCCTTGAGTGGTCTTCCTCCCACTCCACACCTGGGGCCGGAAGCCACACCAGGCTAGCTCTTCTCTCCCCAGGGGTCCAAGGCCCAGCCAGCGTTGCCAGCTGCCCAGATATCCCGGGCCCTTCCTTACAGCCCCCAGCTCTGTGCTTCCGCGAGTTCTGCCCCTAGGGACTTTCAGTCTAGAAATGAGAGGAGTCTGCAAACCCTGGCTACAAGGGGAAGAGGACTTTCTTGGAAAGCTCAGCCGGCAGGTGGCCGCTCAGAGGAGCAGGGCGGAACAGCCCTGTGGGGGTAGCACCGCTGTGTGGAGAACATTGGTTGGCCTTGGGGGTTCAGGGGAGGGAAGAAAGAGCATACAGCCCATCGCCTTCTGCCTGGCCAGCGAAGAGCACGTTCCACGAAGAGTGAGGACTGGCTTTAAAAGTCAGGTGCTTAACTCCATGGCTGATTCATGTCAATGTATGACAAAACCCACTACAATGTTGTAGAGTAATTAGCCTCCAACTAATAAAAATAAATGAAAAAAAAAAAAGTCAGGTGCTTAGTTACCTGCATGGTGTGGTATGTGCCCGTCTGATGAGGAGAAAATAAAAACCCAGAGAAATCCAGGCTGTGGGGTGAATACCTGGTGAACAGGAAAAGCCATATTCCACATGTTGGCTGGAACAGGTGTCAGCTGGGCTGCATGTCCCTTCCTCTACAGTGACAGTGGTGATAGCTACCTTCAGAGCAGCTGAGGGCTCTGTAAGAACATAGTCCTGGGCCTGGCACCTAGAAGGCTCTCAAGAAATGGTTCTATAGTTTCCTTTTCCCAAAGAGAGAGTTGGGATTCTCTGGGAGTCTGCTGAACTCTGGACCCTGACTCCTGGTACCGCACAGCACCCATAAAGCTTAAAAATCTGGAAAGAATTGGTGTTTGACATGGGACCCACCACTCAGACTTTTCCTGAGGAGATCTGGTGAGCCCAGGGGTCATAGAGCTGCAGCAGGACAGAGTCAGGACTCTGGAATGTGGGTTTAGAGGAAGAGATAAGACAGGCTCCCCACCTAATCTGAAAGTGAGCGGGCTGCATTCCAGGCCCAAGCCTTGGTGTCCAGCAGCTGCTGGGGATGAAGCTTCTAGCAAAGGACTCTTCTGTGCTTAACCTGGAGCTGGAAGAACAACCCGCAAACATTCTGGGTTTTTTTGTTTGTTCTTTTTTGAATAACTTCTGAGATAATTGACCCTTTTGAAGGGTACATGGCTGTGGTTTTTAGTATATTCAGTTGTGCAGCCATCACCTCTTAATTCCAGAACATTTTTATCACCTCAAAAAAGAAACCCATGCCCACCTACTCTCATCCCTTCCCAAACATGCTCCTCACACCGCCCCGCCCCACCTGCCCCCCCACACACACTTTCCAGCCCTAAGCAACCACCTATCTAACTTTGTGTTTGGATTTACCTCTTTAGATATTCCATATAAATGGGATCACTTAGTAGGTGTCCTTTTGTGTCTGGCTTCTTTCACTTCATAATGTTTTCAAGGCTCATCCCTGTCATTTGCATATACCAGGGTTTCCTTCCTTTTTATTGCTCAATAGTATTCCATTGTATGGAAATACCACATTTTAGATTTTTGTCTATCCACTCACCAATTGGTTGACATTTGAGTTGTTTCCAGTATCTTGGCTATTACATATAATGCTACAATGAAGATTCGTGTACAAGTTTTTACATGGACCTGTGTTTTTAATGCTCTTGGGCACATACATATCTGGCAATGGACTGCATCCAATGGTAACGGCACAGTTTTTGAGGATCTGGCAAACTGTTCTCCAAAAGGATATACCAACACAACACTAAATTTTTTTAAAAAGAGGATGTACCATTTTACATTCCCACCAGTGACAGAGGGTTTCATTTTCTTCAATTCCTTTCCCACACTTGTTACTGTCTTTTTTGCAGTCGTCCTCGTGGGTGTTAAGAAATGTCTACACCCCTATACCACTAATGGTGGACAAGGAAGAATAGTGAATAGCTACTTTAGATTCCCATCCAGTCACCGCTCCAGCAGGCATGGGAGGCAGAGTTCAGAGAACACAAACTGGCTCTGCTGTGTGTTGGCTCCTTGACCCTGAGGCAGATCACCTTTCTGACTTGATTTTCTTATCTACAAAGTAGTAAACACCCCCTTCATGTGAGAGGTGGCAAGCCTGAAAATGTTCATGCCACATCCATGGTGGGCACTCCAGAGCATTTCTTTCTCTACCCGTCTCCCAGGCACGGTGGGTTCATTAGAACTGGGATCAAAGTGGAGGGGCTTTGAGAGGCTCACTGTGTGTCGGGTGTGGGCGTGAGTGATGAACCTGGGGCACATCACTGGGACATGGGGTCCCTGGAATGGGGGGATCTGGGTGCCCTTCACCCATGGAAGGAGAGGTCACACATCCAGGCCTGCACTGCCCATCCCCTCTCACCCTGCTTCCACATGTCCCTCCAACTCCAGCCTCTGGCTCAGTCATTCAGTAAATAGCTGCTCCAGCCACCAACTCATTGCTCGTGAACCAAGTGGGGCCTGTGGGCCAGAAACTCCACATCCAGGGGAGGAAGGACTCAGAGAAGACAGGTGCATCGTGGCATGCCTGGCCTGAGACAGATGGACATTCTGGGGCTGTGGAGTGGTTGTGGTGGAGACATGCTAGCCGAGGTAAGGCCTGATGCCACACTTGGTCCAACCTGCGGTCTAACCCGAGCCCCCAGCTCTCTCCAGGCCACACTGCAGTCCCCAGTCCACAGTGCCCTAAGAGGCTGCAGTGGGCACAGCACCCAGCCTTTATTAGCCTATCAACTTGGAGAGGCAGCATCTTCCTGCTACCCAGGAGGTCTTTGCATGGTATCCCACCCTGAGGACCCAAAGGAGAACTTGTGGCATTGAGACCCACCGCTTGATCCAGCCTTTGCGTGGCAGATTTCCCTTTAAATCATTGAACTAGGTCATGGCACAAACCCTCAGCTCCCACTGCACTCATGGGATCACCCAGACTCTCTCCTTGGCCTGTCAGGCCCTTCTCGATCATCCTCCCTAGACCCTTTTGCTGGTGCTGGTAAGCACCCCTCAGGCTCTACTGTCTAGCCGTCTCAACCTCACTGCTCTCCTAGAAGCACACTCAGGACATTTCCTTTTCAGGGCCTTTAACTTGGTATTCCTGCTGCCTGGAAGGCATCGCTTCATTGCTCTAGTTAGGTCTCTGCTCATGCCCTTGAGAGAGCTCTCCTGGTTCCCTTATTTAAAGAAACACCCCATCACTATCTCAAGCCCTTTAACGTGCTTTCTTTTCCTTATAGCACTTAACCACTAGCAGAAAGTTTTGTGTGTTACACATGTGTGTAATATACAAGCGTATGTGTGAATGTATGCTGCTGCTGCTACAAAGTCACTTCAGTCGTGTCCAACTCTGTGCGGCCCCATAAGACGGCGGCCCACCAGGCTCCTCCGTCCACAGGATTCTTCAGGCAAGAATACTGGAGTGGGTTGCCATTTTCTTTTCCATGTGAATGTATATAAATACATTAAACAGTACCCAACATGGCCCATAGTTGGTGTTCACTACATGTTTATTAGGCTTCCCAGGTGGCACTAGTGGTAAAGAACCCAGTTCGCCAATGCAAGAGACATAAGTAAGTTCGATCCCTGGGTCAGGAAGATCCCCTGGAGGAGGGTATGGCAACCCACTCCAGTATTCTTGAGGAACCAAGAATACTGTCTTGGTCCTCTGTCTGGGGAACCCATAGACAGAGAAGCCTGGTGGGCTACAGTCCACGGGGTCACAAAGAGTAGGACATGACTGAAGCAACTTAGCATGCATGTGTTTATGAAGTAGATGGAAGAGGGCACATCGTACCTGCAGGAACGTGGCCCCGTGGGAGGAACCTGCTGAGGGGCCTGCAGTGTAGGGCAGGCCCCAGCACATGAACCAGGGCTCCTGAGCCTGGCCACCCTTGAGGCTTGGCCTGCAACTCCTGTCTGCTCCTGAGGTTTAGTCGCAGTCCATCCATTCCCATCAGCACCTGAATAGTAGGAACAAAACAAGCTATTTGAGAAGGAATCACCAGTTGTGGATGATGATACTAATTTAAGCTTTTTCTGTCCAAGGCCAAGAGGTAGGTACTTTAGGCTTTGCAGGCCCTGGGCCCTGTCGCTGCCACTCAGCTCCACCATGTTCCCGCACAGGCAGCCACACACAGTATGTAATCAGGTGAGTGTGGCTCCGAATCAATCAGACTTGGGTCATGGACACTAAAATTTGGATTTCTCATGATTTCTACTGCAGTGTCACAAAATAGTATTTTTCTTCAACTATTTAAAAGTGTAAAACCGCATATCCAGAGCAGTCTAGAGCTGGACTTGTTAGACTGCATGGCCTGAAACTGATGGGTCCAGCTCAGACTTGTGTCCCTGGGTCACGTGTTATGTCCGCAGGCGTGAGTGAGAGGTCATGTAGGGTGATGGGGGAGAGCCAGGCCCAGAGGCTCTGTTTCATCTCTAGCTGGCCTATTGGCTGCAGCTCTGGGTGTGGGGGAGGAAAGCACAGTGCAGGGACATGGACATATGTTCTTGAATCTAGAAAAGTATGAAATACAATTGGAACAGGAGTCCAGAAACCTGCATCCACATCCAGCGTGGCCTCTTGCCAGCTGCAGGATGTGGCAAATTCTCTCTGGGTTGAATAGTATGGTGGATTCTGGGGCCAAACAGAAAAATGTTAGGATAATCACTTTACCACTGACAGTCTTGTGACCATGATGTATCATCCTTTAAGCCTCTGTTTTCTCATCTGTAAAATGGCAACAGTATCATTATCCACTTCATAGATTTTTCTGAGGATTAATGATAGTGCATGTG